TCTCTCTCTCTCTCTCTCTCTCTCTCTCTCTCTCTCTCTCTCTCTCTCTCTCTCTCTCTCTCTCTCTCTCTCTCTCTCTCTCTCTCTCTCTCTCTCTCTCTCTCTCTCTCTCTCTCTCTCTCTCTCTCTCTCTCTCTCTCTCTCTCTCTCTCTCTCTCTCTCTCTCTCTCTCTCTCTCTCTCTCTCTCTCTCTCTCTCTCTCTCTCTCTCTCTCTCTCTCTCTCTCTCTCTCTCTCTCTCTCTCTCTCTCTCTCTCTCTCTCTCTCTCTCTCTCTCTCTCTCTCTCTCTCTCTCTCTCTCTCTCTCTCTCTCTCTCTCTCTCTCTCTCTCTCTCTCTCTCTCTCTCTCTCTCTCTCTCTCTCTCTCTCTCTCTCTCTCTCTCTCTCTCTCTCTCTCTCTCTCTCTCTCTCTCTCTCTCTCTCTCTCTCTCTCTCTCTCTCTCTCTCTCTCTCTCTCTCTCTCTCTCTGAGAGAGAGCCTAGCTAGTCACAGACTATCTTCACTGTCTCTAGCAGGACTTTATACAGTGTATTGTACATCAGCTACTCAGCAACCCTCATTACGGTTCAATCGGAGGCAGACTAGATTGTTCCACAGTGTGTACTGGGTTATCTATACTGCTCTTTGAAGAACACACGGTGTGTAGTTGTGTACTGGGTTATCTATACTTCTCTTTGAAGAACACTGTAAATCAAAACGAGCTCTGCTCTCTGTACTTATAGACCGTCATTAGAAGTGTGTGCAGGATACACTATGTGAGTAATAAAAGCAAGGATATAATAATATCCAGCTTATTAATACACATTACACAAGCGCACCAGTACAACAACGCTAATAGACGAGGGATTACTCGCATGGGAAGGGAAGCAGCTAACTATTATAAATAAGAGGTCAAAAATTACTTAATATTTCGATTAGATCCGATGAGATCCTGAACATATTCAGGAAAAAGGATACTAATGATTAGATTGAATGGTCATTAATAAATGCCACATAGGATTAGGATAGTCAAGCTAAGGCCATTATAAATTGTATTATGTAGTTAGCTTGACTACGTGTAAACTATTACACTGGACAGCAGAAACGAGATCACTGAACGAGATATAATGTTGTACGTGTATCATGATTAGTACAAAACATGCGGTTTAAGAGGTCTCAAATGTGCGGTGCAAGATGAAGAAGTCTCATTTTATTTATGTTATAACTACTGAGTTTTACAAGTTTCGTGGGTTTTATCAATTACTGTCATCTGTTAAACATCAGTTGAACTGGAGATGTGTTTTACTTTTACGAAATAACTGTAATTTATATTTATCGTAAATGTATAAGGCTACATGACAGATGGTGTTCATTAATTAATAGGCAATTAATCAATAATGACTGGCTATAAATTAGATAACGCAGCAAAAACTGACCAGATTAGCGTGTGTGTGCGCTTGTACAAACATTGTGATATTTTGTGAAATGTGTATTCTATTATTATACAGTGTTAATGAATTATAATATCTGGAAACTTCTGGTGGACATCATAGTCGTTTAGTTCCGGAAATCAAACCAACTGACCGACTAGAGGTCATACCAACTTTTCAAATCAAGCAGTTGCGTTTGAGGGAGGTAAGGTGGGTGCCCCAAAGCCAACCAACCGACCGACCAATCATAACCACGCTTATTAAACTGACAGTAAAAAACGAAAAAATATTGCTCTTTCATCGAATGCAATGGAGCAAATCGTTCAATAAAGCGCATTCAAGTAAAATTCATCAAATATGCATGTTGTAGCTCTTGTGTATTATGTTTTCCGACGCTACCAGAGCCACATGCGAAGCAAATACCGCCTCCGGAAATGTAAACTGAAGTCCGGAATTATAAAGAAGGTCAGAGATAATTCTCAATCCAGTATCACGAACATTCAACAATGTAACCACTCTCAATGGGTCTATTACCTGATGGAGAATCACGACGTCAAAACAAAACAAATCAAAGTTTTTCGGCGGTTCAAACGATCATCGCAAGCATTCAAAGCCGTGACAGCAATTCAAAAAATGTCAATAAAAGTTAAAACGCCATTCCGCAGCCGTCAAGCTATCGGCTGAACACCGTGCCAGTTCAAACCGACTTCACGCATCCAATTGTCACCTCCCGAAGGAAAAGTGTTATCACACGACATCAACGTTTCCAGGAAAGAAAAAAAAACACATTTTAAAATCTCCACATCACAGCATTATTTGCCTGATATATTGAGTGAATCTCGCCGGCAATAATGAGATGTGTAGCTAGCACACAACTAGTCTCACGGAACACAATGAATCTCTTCTACCATGATGTGTGCGCTACATTTGTGACTTGTGGTCAACAAAGCTTTTGTGCTAGCATGCGATAGTCACACATTCTGCTTATCTGATTTACTAAATACAATGATTAGCAGGAGAGGATTAGTGTTAACAAGGCAGGGATCACTTAAAAAGTCACGTGATGTTACTCACTGTTTCAGCTCACTGTCCAGACGAACCAGAGGGTGAGATTGAAGAGTACGTGTCTCCTGTGATGAGCTATACATCATGTAGTGTTCTTATCTCGCTAACACCCATACATAAAGCCAACTAACGGACAACGCGAACATGCGAAAAAAGATATCTGACTCACACCAACTGATAGTGATATAGAGAGAATAACAGTTACGAATAATCGACAACGCGGACCTTTTAAATTGTAGATTGCACGCAAATTGAGCTTTTTAAAGTACATCAGCTTTATCACTTATCAATACATTCGATATCGCTACAGTTCATTAAAACTTTACTATTTATAGTACAGTAGCGGTAGAATCAGCTCATTAATGATTTGTTGATAGTCAAGAAGCTCTATCTACTATTGAATAAAGTTTAAACCCTTTTGTTAACAAAGAGATATGGTCAGTCAGAGATACGGCGTAAAAGCCGCAAAATGCAGGATACTATTAATAATTTATCTGGAACAATTTGCACTAGAAAAATGGTAAGGATGCAAAATAAATTCACACGAAAAGCTGATATGGCCTTATGATTCCTAGGAAGTCGACAGAAAGGGTGATAAAGTGACCCTAAGTCAGGGGTAAAATTACCATTACCAAATTACCGAGGAAGAAAACAGAAAAACGTTCAGAAACTCATTGCGGGCTGTCAGCTAGGGGTTTAACACTGAGGTTTAGCGTGTATCTGTGCCATGTACTACTAAATTCCTCCAACTATTATACAGCCAGGCGTTTCAGGGTGAAACTCTTACTCTCCTGCAGCAAAAACACACACATCTAAAGGACACATCTCATAAAGTAGAAGCAGGCAGTCTCGACTTGTCCACGCGTGTTCCTTTCATGAGCTGCTCATAAATTACCTTGAATAAATTCATTAGAATTTGGTTGCGCACACGGAATCGCTGATTTACTATCAAACTGCAGTAAAAGTTATGATCGACAAACGAAAGTAAAGTTTAATGGTCTTTATCCGCATCTCCTCGGAGCCTATGAGTAAAATTGATGTAAGCATCCAGCTAGTAGCTGCGTTATATACTGCAAGGAACACAAACGCACGCACACACAAAAATACACACAGATTAAGAGGTTGGCACACAAAGTAAGATTACAATGTGTGGTGTCTCGAACAGGGGCCGAAAAGGGGCTGGATTGAGAGCAGCCACTAAAAATAGGGACTAAACGTGGCGAACAGCAAGACAAGCACCCTGCTAAAGATCAAGAGAGCAGACAATGGGTTGTATTTTGGGGGCACATTCAGGAACGCGACCCAGTCGCCATGCAGGGCCAATAGATGGAGGATTATTCCGGCTATTTTACTAGTGTGCTTAGCATCCATACCCGAGGAAAATGGACAATGTTTGAAGTGAGGATTCTTAAGGAAGCTGTGCCGGTTAACAGTAGTTACACAGCGATGTATGGAACGTTAAAGAGGCTTCTATGGGGAACCCAAAATCATTACCACGCGGTATAGTGAAGTCTAATTAAGAATACTGTAGCAATCAGTTGCACGTACACTTTGTTTTAATTCATCCGTAAGATTTGTTAAGCAGACGGTAAAATGCGTGACAAACCGTATACAATTGTACGTGGCGGCAAATTTCGTAGAATCTTCCTTAAAACGAAAGAGACATGAATGACTGAATGAGACTAGTTCTGGTCAATTTCGTGGGATAAACTACTCTTTATATTAGGATTTCGGTCGAAGGAGCAGCTGTCTTGAGTCAAGATTCAGTACAAGACGACCAATAGACAAACAATACACGAACAATAGACAGAATTTCGAGTGCATGAGGGAAATTTCACAGAAAATTTCTTAGAATTCTGATCAATTTCAGGTGATCCAGTAAACTTAAAATTACAGTTTGGGTTAAAGGAGCTGATGTTTTCAATCATGATACAGGATTAGACCAACTGAACCGAAATACAAATTCCTACCCAACATAACTGTTCGACTACTACCTACATGGTAAATTTCAGCGCTCACGAAACAGAGCCGATATACTGTAAATTGTGACTTAAAAAGTGGAGAAAAAGTTATTTTTACTTTTATATCGGACCACAGTCTATCAGGTTTACAAGGTGGACGTTGGGAATATGGCAAGCATCGACTTGTTAATCACGTGATCCTGCCAGCATTGTTAGATGTACTAAAAGTAGAAGTGCGATAATCACTGTTTGCCGAAGGTGGGGTACAGGGTTGATCCTTCATCCTTGATAAGCGGTAAAGTCCGGTACTTGGGATATAGCCTATAGGGTTAAATGCGGCACCGGCAGAGATTACAGGGCAGTAAGGTGTTAGTATGGTCGTACGGCTGAGGCACATAGGGTACCCAACGTACAGAGGGGTTTTAAGGAGTTTATCTCTTAAAAGGGGGTGGGGGAAGGCCTTGATAATGAGTGGGGAACGCCTTTTTAATATAAATTCAAATTTAACAGCAAATAAATCAAGAAATTTAAATAACAAGATCAGATAAGGAAGTGGGTGGACTTACTGTGCATGAGCAGATTTGCTTCCAGGGTGTAGAGATTGGTGATCCTCTTTACCGTCCTTTCCTTTCTCCTGAAAGAGGTTAAATTTAATGATCTGATTTTAGTTTGATATGTTTTTCATTAAATTCAATTTTGAGGGTCAATAAAACCCCTTGGGCTGCTTGAAAAAATGCAAAACATGGAAACAAATTTAGCGCTTAAGATGCAATAGCGCAAAATGAGTACTGTTAGTGTTACAACTCAACATTACATTTGTACAGTAAGGATTCTGAATTTGTCTAAGAAATGATTGATACTTGGTTGGTCGTGGCCCACTTTTAGGTTTTCCCTCCCATTTTTCTCAACAATCAATTGATTGAGGTAAGCTAAAGAACCTACAGCCGAGCCACAATCCGCCACAATCAATTATCTTGTGGTGTTTCTTGTGGTGTTTCAATACTCTACATGTTTACGGTTCAGGGTAGGTGTCAGAAGCCTTGGAATGTTGTCAATTGTCTGTAAATTGGTTTAGTCGCTTTCAATTTAGATCCAGGGTAGGTTGAAGTAAAAACTTTGTGTCAAAAATTACTTGCAATTTGCAAATGAAATAGAGTAATTTTGTAACGGAGTTGCGGTTGCAGTTTTTACGTTGTTAAAACCCGTCTAAGAAACGATTCTCTGATCGGCTAATCCTGAACAAGTTAGGATGTGGCTGGGAACAAAGGATTTGTAAAACTAGACCGTTTAGCCGCGCCGTTCCAGCTCTTTTCTCAGTGACAAATCACCAGGATTGAGATTTACCTGGTTGTCAAAGCTGAGCCAGGCAACCTTTGTCCAGGAATTTATTTATCAAAAACCGAACAGGAGGCGTGAGGATAGCAGTTAAAAGTCTAGAAAATGCTAACTATAGACTGTAAGGTACAGGCGGAGAAAGTTGGTCTGGAAACATAGATGAGACTTGACGCTATGGCCGTGTGTTCCATTGGTTTCTGAATGCCTAACCAGCTTCTAGCCACTGCATAGTGCACATGCACACCTTTAAACGTTCGGGAGAACTTAAAATTCCTTTCGGCTAGGCTTGTTCCAGTCGGCAAAGAAAGAAAAAATGTGCTCTGTTCTTCTAGTACCACTGATTTGTCAGTAGCACTAGTATGATACCAGTACTAGTGACAAATCAGTAAAATGCAAAGGCATCCAGCAGGACTGAGAAAATTGTTTTATCCTAATTTTCTTTTACGAATCTGATACGACACTGTATCGCACTTGCTTTATTGGTTGTATCAATGTATCCTCAGAATTTTCCTTTGTCCAAGGTTTAATATCCTGGTCTTAAGACAATGAGACGTGGCCAGAGTGTGACTTCTGCCATTTCTAGTGTATCGGGCATTTGGCATCTCTCTCACCACGTCAAGAATGGTCGGAAGCTGATTAATTATCTTTCGCCAAAATGAAGAACGTTCGAAAAAGCACCCCTGCATTACATGCGTAAAACTCCAATGTGAGCGCTGACAAGACCCATAAAGTGTATTATGATGCATTTCCAAGACATTATGCATTATGCGCTCCCTTTCTCTACACAAAATCTAAAGCATTCCGTTTCCCTTTCATTATAATTAGTTAATTAGTCGACCAATGACCCGAGTCTTGACTTATGGCCTAGAGTGCACTTACCGCCTGCTGCATGGCAATTATCATGCCGGTTGTATGCTTGAGCCTGTACATGTCGGCTCACTATTCCTCAAATCTCTCCCGTCAAACACACTACTCTGTCGCTCACCACAAATGAAACACAAGGAAATATTTTTACCGCGGCCTCACATCCTGATGCCATCATATTGACTTGAAATGCGATGCATCATGACAGTGACAAGCAGAATAAAAACAAGAGTAGCTACACTAGATCTGATTCTAGGGGGGAGCAAGCACTGGGCACTTATTATATCATTAGTCCATATATGGTCTGATGCCTCCTGTCCAGGCACAATACCTTTGTTGCTAATTAGAGATCGTACATGCAGCCTTTACACGGTCCTCTCGCACCAAGCAAGAGAGATCTCACTCTCTACTCTCCTTCACTGCCAGATGATGAATCATTCATCACTCTCTACACCTGACAAACTTGCTTTTGTTATGCTTATATCCCACTCATTATACGAAACATAACCTAAACCCGCTCAGAGTGAGGGAGGGAGAGGGAGAGAGAGGGAGAGAGAGGGAAGAGGACCACCCAATGAAACTCAGTAAGGGTTTTGGGACTGTTAATTACAGTTGTGTTTCTTCAATACAATTATATCGGCCTGCTCTAGGACCACAGTATTGTGGCACAATACTAGTGTACTGACAGGAGGCCCAATAAGAGGCCGGGAAGCATGTAACCGACCAATGGTTGGTACCTCCAGGACGTCAGGTAAGAGGCACTGTGTCAGTCGTCATAATAATATGATCATAGGGGGTAATGAGGTGGCTTAGGTGCGCTGCTGACGCGGCCATATCACAGCTTGTGACATCAGGAGAGAGAGAGAGAGAGAGTGTGCGCCCCTGGAGATTAGGGACAATCCAGGGTACGGAGACCTCTAATATACAATCACATTATACAATAGCACAGAGGGTCATCTATGTTGCTTCAATGTTATAACATGAAAATGTTGGAATCTGTACGTACTGTTTCGTTTGGAGTCATAAGCAATTCAGCTTCACACAAAAAAGCGTACGAAAGTTCACAGATATGACTAGAACGTTATTTCGGAAAACAGAAAGAAAATATGGATCTAAAACTGACGAAACAGGACAAGAACTATGCTTTATAATGTAAACGAGATAAAATCTTTCCTGATATCTAATTAGTAATTAAATATGTCACGATCTCGTTTCAAATTGAATTACCATTGATTCTGTGGTTCTGACTATAAGATAATAAGGTATTAATCTATTAATTGATACTTTTACAGGAAATTTCATTAAGATAAAATGAGCGGTTCGTTATTACTTCGTTAGGGGTTGTAGTGAGCAGTGTAGCTGATTAGTTAATATAAAAGTTAATTTGACACGAACGCATCTATACGCTTTAATCTATGTAATGTAAGAGAAATAGAACCTGTCTTTAATTTCCTAATACATTGCGCTCATTTATTGACTTCCAACAAAGAAGCATCTTGGTATCGAGGAGTAAAACATGCTGCAATAGCTTGAGTCAATTGGTTAAGTAACCAACTTATAATTTGTTTGACAAAGTCATCAAACTCTGTATAATAGTAAAATTCTATCGAAAATATGTAATAGAAAATCAAATAAGACACTTTGACATACCAGTTATATCATAGCAACTCTTCAGTGGAACACAAATGACAAACTGCATTCCATAAATAACATGCTTCAAATCCAAACTCTTTACAGGCACGGTGGGGGTTCAACGACCTATTTTGACAACAACTAAATGTAAAAAATTCCTATCGAAAAAACCAGTCGCTGCCTCCCCACCTCCTGCTGCATCACCTCTCTCATGAACAAGTTTCCTGGGTGATGCAGCTCTACAAACAACAATTTTCAAACTCAGTTCTGGAAACACGCTGATAATACTCACCTTAGCATTGAGGAGATTGGTTTTGGTTTTGAATATGAACTTAACCATCTCCTAACGGGATTTGGAGACGAAGTCACCCGTTTCTCATGATATATACATGACTCTGGAGAGAGAGAGTACAGAGTGAGATATATGTCTCACTAGTTATTATAGGTGAGAGTAATATTGAGTAATAATATTGAGAGTAATATTGAACATGGGACTGTAGATTCGGTTATTTTTAATTTATACATGACGTTCAATCTCAATATTTTCAACCGAATATATTACATATTTGGCATGTTTCATTTTGTGGTGCGTATCGTCATGCTGTGACAGGTACAAACTATAACCACCCCTGCACTGGCCTGATAAATCGGACCACAAAAGTGACGTCTTGATTTTATACTCTTCGTGAAAACCGGATATAATACTGATTGACACAGCAATATATACATTCACCATCAAGATAAAACTGATGTCTCATTATAGCCGCTGAAATCGGGCAGATGAAAATCTCAACGCAGCTAAAAGTGATGACATAATATGAGGCACCATGCAGGATGCTAAGCGGGATCCAGTAATACAATTAGTTCAACTCAGCCCAGCATGAAAAGAGAACAGGGTCACGGTGGAATGGTATCAACGACTTTCATTCTACACTCGGGTAACGGGTTGCGTAAAAAACGGACAATAATTATTTTGTTGACGATACATACTTGAGTATATGTTTTCGCCAATCAATATCAGTGTACAGTAGCAGGGTGATATGTAGATTGTACGGACTAGTAGATGTGATCTGGTGAAAGATTCTGCGCAAAAATGTTTGCATACGTTTTTCCATACACTCTATTCAGACTCATGTGAGTCTATTCAGACTCATAAGTATACATAGCCTATAATTAACTATTGAGCAAAGTTATGCAAAGACACTCCAAAAAATGTACCAATTTCTAGAGGATCGACGTTCGGCAACTGACACGGACAAAAATCGCGCATAGTTCGTACAAACAAACAAGGGATAAGACAGCGCAAATGAACTCACAATTCACATGTCATGTTCCATTGTTTCGGCTTTTTAGGTCACAATCCTTCAAACAATCAAAGTTCGAAAAGAATACAGTAGATGTCATGTTGGACATACAATTGGAGACTTCCGTTGTAAACAAGAAAGAACCATGAACAAAATCATTTCGTATTCAACCATATGTACACTGTACAGTGTACACCATGACATGGTGGAACAATACAAATGTGATGAAGGAACTGATGATGATCTGACAACAGTAAAAATATCGATTATAAGCAGTTCACTTTAATGTGAACTGCTATATATAAGCAGTTCACTTTAATGAAACTTAAACTCAACTGTCAATATCAATCGGATTTCGTAGAAGTAACTTTAAAACTTTAAACTGTAAACTTAACGAAATACCATTACTACACATCGATTGGAACACAGCAGATTCTCACAACTAGGTTAAAACTCCTAACAGTCATATTCATGGTGTGAAGCACTTCTATTATATGCC